ATAAACAAAATGAAACTACAAAACTATCAAATCACCTCCTGTATTTGCAAAGAATGATGATTCATATTTACATGTATTACATAAGATCTTTACATTTAATTAGCATGTACAAGTATGTAGTATGTGGGTAAATGTCTTTAATTTTTCATATTTTTATTCTAGAGAGAATTTATGCCTGAAGAAATTCCATATTTGTTGAAAGCCTACTCTCTGCCAGCCACTGGGTCAAAATCAGTATCAGTTCAACTTTTACTGTTGACATAGACATGTTACTGATGTTGATTTTAGCTCATATTCTTCTGCTAAAGTTATTATGTATTGTAAAAATGGGCAAATTTAGTCCCAGACTAATTAAAGATATACATGTGTTTTGCAAGCATATATAATAGAAAACTACAAATCTTTTACAGTTTGTCATTGGAGTATGCACCAACAAGATCGGTTCATATTGAGTGTGTCTACAATATATTCCCATGTTATAAAACTAAGTGTGACAAAGGGCAGAGGAATGAAACAACCTGAGCAGGCCGGGGGAAAAGCCCACAGACTTTATTCACCTGGGTGCAGACTGAGTGAGGGCAACAAAGCCATTAATGGCAAACAAAGAAAAGGCAGAGGGCTTTATGGGGGATTGGGAAAGAGTTTGTCATGTACAGGGGTCAGACCAAGTATTTGCGGTTGAGGTCCATGTAGTGGTTAAAGCAGATGGATGTATGTTACCAGGTAACTTAGTTTCCGGAAGATGTTGTGCTGTACTTTGTAGTCTTATCACTTTTCCATAACATCCCATTCTGTGCTCTGTCTGCTGGAGACAGCACAGCCTGTATCTGGGTGGAGACCGCACAGCCTGCATCTGGTCTTTAGCCACCTGAAGGAATGGCCTGTACTTGCTGAGGGCTGTGGGTTTTTTTGCATCTGCTAAAACTGTCACTTGGAATTAAGCAACATAATTTAGGCAGATTATGGCCAGATCACGCCTGACGTAAGGTAATTTTTTTCAACCTGCTTTTGATTGATAGGTCAACTTTAAAAGTCTCTTTAGAATACTATTGTTAGCCTCTAAATTCATCTCTTACTCCTGTCAAAACCCTTTCTCCCTCTTACTAAGTACCAATGCGTTTAAAATTTTAAGATTATTATTGTCTTTAAGTTATCTCCACCTTGAAACCAGTTATTCTCTGCTTCTTTGCCATGCGTGTATTCAGACAATAATCTTAAACAAAATCACCCATCTCTTGGTCAGAAGCTAGCCACAGTAGGTTCACCACTGGATTTGCTGTTTGAACCTGAAAGGATGCTCTGCCAGCCTGTTTTCAGTTATTTTATTCAAACCGCCTACGAGTAGCAGGGCTTCAGTCTTCAGTGCAGCTTCATTACAGAACTCAAGGAGATCAGGAGGCAGAAATTCAAGGCAACTGATGAGTTTCCTTTATGGTTGTGGCTCAAATTACCCTGAAGCATAAAATGGCTTCTTTCCTAATAACCCCTTTGTTTTCGAAGCAGTAGAGTGTGGATGTCAATTTAGCACAGGGTACAGGTGTCTGTTCTCAAGCCAGACTACTTGGGCTCAGTTGGTGGCCATGTGATCTGAAGTAGGTAAAAATAATTCTTTTCCCAGCATCACTGAAAAGAAATAAAAAGAAATATCTCCCTTGGCCTGGGTTTCTCCATTCGGAAAATGGATACAACAATAGCTTAGCTGTCAGAGCGCTGCTGTGAATACTGAATGAGTGTTTGTGCTTGCATTGCTTACATGTATCAAATAGCTCCGTGTGACCCTATGAATATGTGCAATCAAAATAAAAATGATAAATAAAAAATCTGTGGTTAGCATCACACCAAGGGCACACTGTAAGAACGACAGAAGTAAAAACTAATTTTGGTGTACCTCTGAAAAAGTAGCAACTGCAGAAACTTTTGAAACCTTCAGCAGTCTTTTGGAGCAAGTGCCTTCCTCTATAACCAGGACCTCCAAGCACAAAAGAAGCAAGGTTGCACCCACTTCAAGCACACTTTATTGAAAGTGGCAGATTGAGCCATCTCAGGGTAGTTACATTTTCCAAAGAACAGAGGATCAAACTGATCTTGGCTTGTGATTTAATCTTCAGAAGACAATAAATAAGGCCCCTGTCATGGACTTTGAACACTAAATTAGGTGAGCTAACATTAAACCTCTTTCAAAGTAGAAGTATCACAAGCAATAGAAAATATTTATTTGTAGTTTATTTTAAAGGCAGCTGTTCAACCACCATTGTCTTTGGGAAAAAATGATATTAAAATATATTAAACTATGATTTTATTTTTCAGTTCTTTGAATTACAGAGATTATTATGGTCACTTCTGTGAGATTTAGTTCATTTTTACTTTTTCCCACATTGCAGTTTTATTAGTTATCTTAAGGCAGTTTCAAATTATTTCATCCATCTTGGTCTTTGCTTTTAATTTATGCAGTGGAAATTACCTGATCATTGATGTGAATAATTTTCAGTATCTTGCCAAACAGCCTGTGGGAACCGAAAACACAAATTGCATATATTAGACTTTTCTGTTTGAGTTTAATGCAACAGAAACGAATGATGCTACAAAACTAACTTCATTGAATTCCAGGCACTCATAACTAATTCATAAATTCCTTTTTGTGTGTAATTAAGAAAACAAATTTGACCTACATATTTGGGAGGCAAGTCATAGAGCAAAGCATGTCCGATGGTTATAATAATTTTCCATTTCACTTTATTGTGATTTATGTTAACCTCTCTAATCTGACTAAATGTTCTATATATCATCAAGTGCATTATTCCAGAGCATACGGCATTAGAGGCTGAATCAATAATTATAGGCCGATTTTATTATTACTATTGTACTTAGGTTCTTCCAAGATCAGCCTGTGAAGACTGTCCCCATCAGCTTCATAGTGTTGGGAAACCTCTCCAGCAGCTAAGATTTAACTCATCGAGGTGGCTGCACCTGCTTACAATATACTATCGGACTCTGATGCCTCTGGGTCTTGGGGGAGAGCCAGCCTGGCCAGAGCCCGCCCTATGGGGTCTCAGCTGGGAGTAGAGCTTCTGGGCAGAGTAAGAGGAGCAGAATCTGGGAGCGGATGGGTCCTCCCCTCCGCAGCCGCGGTATGAGGTTCTGCTGACTGGTACTGAGCACGGTCCATGAAGTGCCTTACTGTCTGGACACCTGCTTCCTTCACAAGCGACAGAACATACGGCACACATGCAAAGGTGAGCAAGAGTGAGAATTAAGTAGAGGTGAGAATTCGCCTTGCAGGGGTCCAAGAAGTTCGGCAGGGGTCCTCGCTGGGGCTGAGGGACCAGGTCTGTTTGCACATCCCACCTCTCTTTTCAGGTACTCTTGTTTCATTCCTTCCTCCACAGCTCCTCCGTCTCTGAAACGGATCCAATCCAGCGGCAGGCCTCTCCCCCCCGCATGCACACTGTGCACACCGGAGCTGCAACGTAATTGCTGTAAGATCTGAGTGACTTGAAATCCCTTGGCATCATGACCTGTAAATTCAACATTACTTTGTTACAGATGGAAAGGAATGATTTCTTCATTTCCTTAAATATTATTTCCAACTATTGACTTAGTGGACTAAAGCGTGAAGTGATAATCGTAAAACATCTCTCCGTTATTATTTCAAATACAATGCGATAGAAAGATTTACATTTATGGAAACAAAATTTCATAAAAAGAAATGACCTCATGTGAAATTTAATGTACTCTTTATATTTAACAATTTCTACAATGTTTGTTTTATTTTTATCCTATTTATGTAATGCACATCGAACACAGCAGAATTTTAGCTCCTAGGAATCTGATTATTTTCTCTGTGCCTTGACTCAAAAGTTTTGGGAAGCACAGTCCTCTAGTCCACTGGGGATTTTTAGTAAGACACATCCCTGCCAGATTTTCCCTGGTGCTTTCAAAACTGGCCATGAAGCCGCGGCTGCTGGCTGTGATCAGCACGTAGATTCGTCTCAAAAATTCAATCTTGTCTTCTGCCTTGAACACGCAGCATGTCCTGGTCCCTTCACACGGGGCCCTGTGCCGGTTTGGCAAAGTGACCGGAGAGAGGTTCGTTTCCTGCAAGTCCATTGTCCCTGCCCACTGACTTGGACAAATCGGTCACCTAGACGTTGAGTAAAAATTCAGAAACTTCCTTCTTCCAGCCTGCTGGATGCTTCCACGCCCTTCCCCTTCCTCGGGGCACCATCCGGGGCCGGGTCCCCAGGCCTTGCAGCGGACGGCTCCCACCTGGTGTCCACCCTTGGCAGGCCATGCCTCTCCTTGCGAACTTTCCGCAGGTGTCTCAGGAAGTGGCGGTGCGGCCAGCGGTGGCGGCCCAGAGAGGCGGGGCTGGTGCTCCTGGACTTCTCTTGTCCTTCAGGTTCCATGCCCCAGATCCTGCAGGTGGCAGAAACCCGCCAGGCTTCTGGGGACACCCCGAGCGGTGGCCCCGGAGCGCGCGTCCCCTCCCCCGGCCTCGCTGGAGGTGTTTATCTTGGCCTCTGCCCCTGGCTCTTTCTGTTTCGCTTTTCCTTACGCTGGGGGTGGGGACTCGCCCGGTGGAAGGCAGCCGGGGTGGGGATCCCAGCTGAGCCCGGGCCCCTAGGGTGTGCAGAGCTCCAGGGAAGCAGGGGCGCGACCCGCCCGCCCGGAGAGGGGAGGTGTGGGGAGTTCGCCGAGCGCTGGAGTTTTCCCCCCCGAATGCCGACGCCCCAGCCCCTCCCGTCTCTGGTTCTCCTCACCCTCTAGTCTGTACCAGCCGCCGGCCCGCCAGCCCGCCCTCTTGACCAGGACTTCAGTTTTGGATTGCGCTACGTGCGCGTTTTTTTCCCCCCCTCCCGACACTTTATTTGGCTCGCGTCTCTAGGACCCGTCCTCCCGCCTTTGTAGGTCGCAGACTGCGGGTCCCTGCGCGCCCGGCACGAGTCTCCAGTGCGCTCCGAGCTCCCTGCTGCGCACGGGCGGTGGCCGCGCTACCTGCGCGCCCAGGACGGCTCAGGGTGGCGAAGGGTGAGAGACGCGCGCCCCGCTGCCCTTGCCGCTTACGGGTTTCCAAGAAGAAGTGGTCTGGCAACCCTGCGCCCCGAGATTTGAATCTAGTCAAGCTCAGAAAAGTCAAGAAAGGTACCGCAGCTCCCCGCTCGCTTCCTCCTTGTGCCCTCTGAAACTCGCTGTGGCTGCTGCTTTTGCAAAATCAAATTAGTCCCTTCTCGATCAGGACAGGTCTTCCGGGGAGAGAAATGTGTAGGAATGGTCAGTGTTTGGCACTGGGTCAGCCTTAGCGACAACTCACGAGCCGCTTTTCACTTACACAGTCATATGCGGAATGCCAGAACAACTTGGACTAAAAGCAGGCGAATTGTACTGACATCAAGTTCTTATTCAAAGGGGCTTTCAAGAACATCCAGTTAATTTCTTCAAGTGTTATTGCGGCTGCATATTGCAAAAGAATACAGTTCACTTGCATTTAATTTTTGCAATTCCATGCATTTAAAATTATGGTAACTTCACAGTATCTGTAAAGGAAAGTGATTCTTGAAGGATGATGGCTAATAATAGTCTCTCTCTCTCCCTCTCTCTTTCTCTCTCTCTCTCTCTCTCTCTCTCTCTCTCTCTCTCTCTCTCCCCCCCTCTCAATAATAGACTCTTAAGGATGAGTCAGAAGGTAGAACTCAAGCAAAGTGGGTGTGACCAGCTCTTTTCCAATAGACTTTAAAAAGCCTACTTTCTAATATTATGATACTTTTATGTCCCTACTTGGAAGTTGTAGTCCTCAGATTGTCAGTGTTACCGACCTAGCCGAATTTTAATTAGACTTTTTCCTTTTTTTTGGTATCGGGGATGGAATTCGGGTCCTTGCCCTTGTGAGGCAGGCACCAGAACCACTGAGTTAAATCCCCGGCTCTCACGGCTGGCTTCTGACAGGCTGGGTCTTCTGGTCATTTTTGTGTCACTGCTTTGTGATGATTTGGAGTGCCAACTCCAGAATCTGATTTGAAACTATAATTATGTTTTTTGTAAATAATGCTTTTTTGTTTCAATCCCTGCAATTCGTATAGCAAAGGTTGACAGCAATATCACACTGTTTATCAATGAAATATGTTTATCATCCATGGAGGAGGGAGAGAAAAAATGGTTTCACTTTTTATGAAATAAGAGTTTGGAAGTGGAAGGTTTTAAACGTTGGATTTCTTCATCTCAAGTTTTCTGTCTCTAGCAGATTTCAGAAAGGCTGTAGAAGAAGCCCTGAATTGCTGCTTGTAATTCATCTTTGACCCAGACAGAAAACTGTACTTTTCTTCCCATTTCTCCTAGAGTTTTCAGTTTTATGTATTATGCAACTGTTCTTCAGAAGGGTATTTAATGGTGATATACAGAGAACTCTCTTCAGATCCACACTTGAATTTTTGGCCAATAATGTGAATAATTACCAACATCTATTACTTTCTTACATACCGACCATTGTTTTCAGTGTGCATTTTAAAAAGTCATCAGCATGAACATGTGGTAGCGATTGGATTTTATAGCTGAGGAAATTGATGTATACAGAGCTAGGAAGTTGGTACAACTAGGACTCCAACTGCGACAGGTTTAAGATTGCTGGTATTTTCAAAGGATAGTATTATTCCTATTGAAATATTTTCTATAATTTGATGGTTACGCTGATTTCATTTCGATACAGTGTTACAATGCTAAAATGCTGGCTTTAAAGTAACGCTTGATGGTATTTCTGTAATGGACATTATACATATATATTTAATATATATTATATATTTATAATCAAGTAATAGTCACATTAATATTGTGTATGCGTGGCTCCTTGGTCCGCATATGGAAGTCTTTGTGTAATTTGCATCAGTTTCTGCTGTTTGGTGACTAACGAGCACATTTGGATTAAGCTACATATGGAGTGATCAAAATGTACAGTGAATGCGTCAATTTTGCGACATTATTACTTTACACGACATATTGCCATCGGTCCCCTTCAGTATAGCTCCTCTCACTCCAAACACACATCCCATTATTCTTGCCGCGTTCAGAAGCAGTTGTTCTGAGAGTCCCCTTCATGAGTGCTTCTGTGAGGAATGGTCAAGGAGATGGTGAATGCTGCTGCTGCGTGCCATCCAGCAGGAAGGGAAACCGATAAAAACATTAGTGTGTCGTCACCCACCCACCCTATTCGTGGATCTTCCACCATGTCACTTTTGGCTGGGCCTGGAAGTCAGAATAGCCATGAAAGATAAACACGTTGAGTCAATTCAGGACATCCAGGCAACCCTGACAGAGCAACCAAAGACACTCACGAGAGAAGGCTACCAGAACTGGTCCAGGAAATGTTAGAAGCAATGGGGTTAAAGTGTTCCATGGGAAGGTGAATGTTCTGAGGGGGCTTAATGGCTTTATGTCTTTGACTGTAATATTTCTAAATGCAAACATTCACTCTGGTTTTCAGCCACACCTTCATGTATCTCTATCTGCCTATCAAAGTAGAATGCCAAGAGTCTTGGAGTGATCAGGGGCAGAGTCCCTATTGTTTTGCAACTTCAGTTAACTGTTTGGGAACTCCCCTTTTGAGAAGGTTCTATGGTGGAAGCATTGATAAGAAGCCAGTTTATTTGTCTAGCTCAACATTAGTTCTCAGATTTACTTACTTACTCATAGCAGTAATTGCATAAGAATATTGAGATTGAGCTGGGCCTGGTGGCACATGCCTGTAATTCCAGCACTCAGGAGTCTGAGGTAAGAAGACTGCCATGAGTTCAAGGTCAGCCTGGACTACATAGCCAGTTCAAAGTTATCCTGCGCTACATCATGAGACCCTGTCTCAAAAAACAAACAATGAAACAAAACAATATTGAGATTGAACATTGCTTATATACTTGCTGAAGTGTTGGGATGGAAATTCCTGTAGAGGTATTGAGAGAGTCTTTGTGAATTTAATGAGTAGTGAAATGTAATTAGTAATTTGATGATAATTCTCACTAATTACAAGCATATGTCGGTAATGTGTATGTATCTTATATGGATATAGATATGTGCATATGTATGTGTGTATAGCATATATCACTTGTTAACAACTGGGGACAGATATAAGGGATATTTTCTGTTCTCTTTCCAGACTATGATGAATAAGGGACACAGGGGTGTCCAGGAACTCTTGAAAGAGAAACTGAAGTACAAATTATTGTTATTAATGGTATCATTCTAGTAGGAACCTAATATGAATCTGGCAGTTACAGAAAACCCTGAGATGCTATGTGTGTTGCAGGCTCCTTGCTGATATTTCATCTGCGTGACCTCATTGAATCCTAATAATCATTGTGTTTTAACCCCGACTGTTAAAAAAGAAAAAAAGAGTGCTGCATGCAGAATTTCATTTGGATTAGGACTTCCTAGCAAGACACTCTGCTGAGATTTACTTTATTTCAAAGCTAATTCTCTCTCTCTCTCCCTTTTCTTTTTTGAATTTCATGTTTTCTTTTCTAGAAAAAAATCAGGTGTTCAGTATAACAAAAAATAAAATGCCCATATGCTTGCCATGAAATAGGCCCTCATTTGGGGTGATATGTTATTTATTACATTGCTTTATGTTAAGAATGATATCCTCTTTCAAATGCTTTATCTTTCCAGTTGTACATATTTGCAGTACGTAAAGTTCACATTCCTTGTGTGGATTTGGTACATGTACATGAGACATCTTAACTTCTTTTTTATTCTGCTTTCCCTTGCCTCCCTCCCTCTCCTTCCTTTTCTTGATCCCTCTCCCATCGGAGAAAGATCTATTTCCCTACTTCTTATTATCTTTTATTTTGCCCTTTATTTATAATTTGGGTTTGTCATATAAAAAAGTTATTCAGTGCTAAAATTAGAAATAGGAAATGGGGTTTTTCAGCTCAGTTCAGTTCAACAATATCATTTTGTTCATAGTTTGTATCTGAAGGAAAGGTGTTTATAGGCACCTGCTTTATAGGGTTTTATCTTACTGCATGGGGAAGGGACTATATAAGACCATATAAAAGTGGAATTGAAAGTCTGAATGCACAGCATAGTCGCTTCTTCTCCTGGTGCTAATCATTCTTCCAGGTCTTGACAGGTTACCAACAGCATCAGGAAAGTAATACAAATTACTTTGCTAGATGAAGAAATGGAAACTGAAAATGGTCCTGAAAGGAGAATGAATGTTAATCACATGATTGGAGGGCGAGAGGAAGAAGCTCAATTAATCATTTCATCATGTAACATAAGTGCAGAGAAGGTCCTAGACCCGGAATTATCCTTTTCCTTGGGGGGCATTGTGTATGTCCTTTCTAATTGAAATTTGAGAAATAAAGTAGCCCCCTGAAGACTGCTGGCACTGACCTCTCAAAGTTTTCAAATAATTATCCTTTAATTGAACGGTTCACAGTTAGGGATCTAACAACGTATTTTCCAATTTTTTTTTCTTTTCCTTACTCCTCTACAATAAATATAACTATATAAATTGAAATTTAGTTCTATTGTTAGAAATTATTCTTGGCTATGCTATTTTAAATATGAGCAGTATACAATCAAAATAACCCTTCAACTTTTGGTAAGTAGTGGAAATAAAACTAAAACTATATTTGAAATATGTGTTATAGGAGTACGTATGTTTGATATCAGTGTTTTGATTACAATTTTCTTTCATATCAGCCTTTAAAATCGCCTCTGTGTCTGTTGCCTTGCCGGGCAGGGCCTGTAGTGAGATTCCGGAGGAGGGAGGGACTTGTCTTTCTTTTGTGAAGCCGTGGGGAAAGGGTTGTTATGAAAGGGGAAGTGGGAAAGGAGAACTGCCTAGAAATCTGCTTTGCTGATGCACATGCACGTTAGATGTCCCTGGTAAGGAGGGGCTCACTTTTGGCATCAGAGAAGCCAATGTAGAAGATGGGGAAGGATGTGGAACGTGGTTCCCTCAGAACTCTGTGCCCACACAGAGTAGCCTTGCTAGGGTACCCCCAGGGTGCTTCTTCTCAGTTGGGAGATTTCTGACCTCTTCAAGCTGCCCCCTGCACCCTTCCCTTGGATTCTGGATTAGCATGGTTTATTGTGCTTATGGCAAAGTGTGTAAGTCAGTCAGGGAGCCATAGGATCCTGTTGAGGCTCTT